TTTGTTTTATTGGTTTAGTTTTATGTGTGTCCTCTTGGCCTTATGGCAGTGGAGGTTTAGTGTTTGAGGTTTTTTGCTTTTCGGGTTCTAGGCCGTCTTGGCGTGTCGTCTCAGTTTTTCTATTTAGGTTTGGCTCGTTGTACTGGATACTTGTTCTTGGTTTCCGAGTTTATAATACCTCTATCGCTTTGATTAAAAAAAAAAAAAAAGAATATCTAATCTAAAAGCTAAAAATTCTCAGGATGACAACATTATCCAATAAAAATTAATTAACAAGACTAGAATAAGAGGATAAGGTCTACAAAAGATTATGGCCAAAAGAAAGTAAAGAAGCAAAATGTTGGAGCACATAACAGCAAGCGAAATAGCAGGCTATGGCGTGGGAGCTCTACTCCTCTCCGCTACCCTTTCTGCCCCCAAAATCGATTCTTTCATTTCTTCTTCTCAGCGCAGGTCCTTTCTAATTTTCTAACTCCCAACTCTTATTTTGGTTTTGTGATCGAAAAATTATCAGACGCAATTTTTCAACAGTTCCTTAGGGATGTGCAAAAGATGTGGTGATCTGAAGCTGGTAGCTTGCTTCAAATGCAAGGGCTCTGGATTGATCAAAGAAGGTGGGCCCTTCAATTTTGTCCCCATTGTTAGTGAGAGTATGGGTTTTGGTGGCAAAAGCAAGTCATCATCAAACTCTTCATGCAGTAATTGCAGAGGAAGAGGCCATTTTCCTTGTCCCCAGTGCTGCTCTAACTCACATTCATCCGGAACTCGATAAGTTTCTTCGAATTTTCTTATTTTAATTCGATGCATCTTCTTCAAGCGGTTGGTGTTTTGGAATGAATTTGTGTTTTGAGTATGGTGAGGTACTGCAGTTGAGAAGAGATTTGTGTGGTTGTTGTAATGGTGCAAGTATGATTGATGGTGTGTTGTGTAAATTCAATTTTCGTTAAAGGAAGTGTTGGAATGACTCAAAAGTTTAATCCAATTAACATTAACGTACTGTAAGTAACTAGTTTGGAAATCGATTCTATGCGGGATTAAATTAGACTCGTATTTACTGTAAGTAACTAATTTGGATGAGATAGTTATTAGTGTTATAGGTAAATGTAAGGGTAGTGTTTTTTTTTTTTTTTTTTAGAAAACATCTGAGGATGGGGGTTTAGGCCGGACCCCCAACCTGTATATATAAGGCCCTACATGGGCTGAAATATCACAAATGTACAAATTCAATGTCTTAAATACATGAAGTCAAACGAAAAACAAAACCAGAAACAAGAGCTGGCAACAGCTGCCAGTAGCACAAGAATAACGTCTCATGGTCCAGAGTGAGTCCAGGTAGTGTTTTATGTAAAGTTGTTATTGTATAAATAACAACTATATGTCTTATGTAATTTTACTATTTTGTTTCTTGTAACCCTAACTATATATACTTTCTCCTTCACTATACAATACACGTTTTCTCATAATCTCAATATACATTTTTCCTTTTCTGTTGTCGCTCCCCTTCTTCTTCTTCTTCTTCTCTTGTTCATCTTCCCCAATGCACATATGTTTAGTTTGAGATCTGATATGGTATCAGTCGCGTTCGATCCATCTTTTCACTACTTCCGTACATAGATTCTATTTGATTTTTGTTCGAATACAATCTCCATCTTTGAGATTTATTCGATTTTTGCTTCGATTTTCGATTTCTGATTTTTTGTAGGGTTTTCACCATCTGAACCGCAATCTGCAATTTTCCCCTATTTTACGATCTAAATATCCTAGATCTACTCATTTTTCGTCTGATTATGTATGACGACTACTCAAAATCCTAACGATGATCCGTCCGCCCGTTCTACCTCCACGCAAGTGACAATCCGGTAGCTCTCGTCGTCGTCGAACTTCTCAGTGGCGAGAACTATGTCAGTTTGTTCCGCACTGTTGTCATGGCTCTCATCGTGAAAAACAAGGGCGGGTTTATCGACGGTACTTTGCTATCACCTTCCCCTAATACAATAGTTTATTTTTATTAAATAATGAAGTACTTGAATGAATTGTTCCATTTTTTTTTTTATTTTGTTATATTATGTTTATAGTTCACGTGTGCATGATTTAGTAAATTTTAAGACAACTCTTAATTAAACTTAAGTATGCATCTTTGAAATTCTTTATTATTTTGTGGTAATATTGGCTGATTTTTTAGGGATATGAAAGAAAGAAATTTGGGAGATATATGGAAAATTTTATGAGGAATAATGGTGCAATAATTTTGTGCTGGATTTTAGGGGATGTGGAATATTTTGTTCGTCTATTTGTAGCGTCGGAACCCTATCTCCTAGCTCCCCCTTTCTTCTTGTGTCACCGTTAATCCCGTCTGCAGATCGCGCGTTTCCTCAGCGGTTGACCGACCTTCGTCGGTGGTCTACCCTTAGCTGTGCTCCATTATCCCCGTTCGTTCTTCTCTCTCTGGTTTCTATGGAGGTTGGGGGTCGAGAGGATGTCTGTGACTAGGCCTCTCCGGTTCTCTGTTTCTAGATTATGGTCGAGGTATTCGATTTCCCGATTTTCAGGGTGGACCAGGGTGGGGTAAGGCGTCGGGGTTGGGAGCAGCTTGAGCGGCTCCCGGTGTCCTCGTCAGGGTTGGTGGTTGGGGCTGAGATGCTTCTCTTGTCTCTTGTTCTTCTCCGTTACCTTGGTGTGAGGTCGACAAGGTTACCGGTGCGCCAAACGTTTCCTGTGGTGTTGGCGGATTTGGTGTGCGGTGGTGTGGGGGGGAGGGTTGCCCTTAGTTTTGGCCAATCCTAGTCGGCAGTCATGCGCGGTGGCTAAAGCATTGAAGCCTTTCAACCTTCCTTCTCCTTTGTTCTCTGGTTTTAGGTACTCGGGGGGGGTAGGGCGGACGGTGTTCCCGGACTCGTCTAGTGGTGTTGGCCGATTTCATAGCAGTGGTGGTGTGGGGAGCGATTAGGTTTCTCTTGGTTGTAGGGTGGTCGATCTTCGGATTTGGTTCGAGGCTTGAATTTTTATCTCAGCTAGGCGTTTTGGCAATTTCAGGGGCGATTCTCGGGTTGCGGATCTTTCTTCAGTTCGACTTTTGTCCACCGGCTTTAGCTCGCTCGAGCTGCTGAGGAAGGATTTGTTTTGTGTACTTGTCTTTTTTTTTTTTTTGTATGTCGTGTTGTTTGGTAGGCTTGTGTTTTTGGTCTGGGCCGTTGGCCTCTATACTATTTACCCTGTGGGGGTCGTTCCTAATCTCCTTTTCGGAGCTTGTCGTTTTTTATTTGTGTTTGGTAGTCTGGTGTCTTAATCTAGCGTTGCTAGCGTCGATTTTAGGCGGTCTTACCATTCGCCCTCCTAGTATTTCAGTTTTTGGTTGTTCCATTCAACTAGAAGTTGTACCTTTGCACATTTGTGCGCTTTTTTCTACTAGTATAGTGCACGTGCGTTGCACGTTAAGAAATTATTTTTTCCACTAATTAAGGTCTTGAGGAGATGTTTCTTTTATGCCAACTCCTATTGTGAATAATGTACTACATTGTTTGTGAGGTATTTATGTTAAAGAAATAGCACTTGACGTGTTTAAGTCTTGCTTTTGCTAATATATTCATGTACTGAAATCGCAAGTTTATTTTATGTGTGTTGCTCTTAGGATAAGGTTGGCAAAACCAGTGTTGCTTATAGAGTATTAACTCTTGTAATATAAAGTTTGAAGTGGTCGGGATAAATTAGTAATATCCTAAGGTAAAATAGATAATTCAATGATTTTTTGTAAAATGTAAAGTAAATGAACTACAGAAAGGCATTAACTAAAGCTTGTTCTTAAATTTAAACAATAACTAAAGATTATTTTTTAATTTAAACGATATAGATAAGTATGATATTCAACTCTTCTCATTCTTTATGCAAATGATCGGAGAGGATGATTTCTTTCCTTTTGCTTTTGATTTTTTCGCACACATTTCTTTATAGGACTGATGATTATTGCATTATCTTCAATTTTAATGATACTATCATTGTCATCTTCCTTTATCTTGTCGGCGATGCGTTTTCTTCTTTGAAGTTGCTTTTTTGTTTGCGAGGCCCCTTGATTCTTTTGGAGATGACTCGGAGATTTGGGAGATTTTAATGGTCTTTCTTTCATTTCATTATCATTGGTAGGATGAATTTTACAATTGCTTCGACAACCACGTTCATCTCTCCTCTTGAGTTGTAGCGCTTCTGATTTATTTGGATGAGAAATTAGAATTCGGTGGTTGATTGCAATTCCAATCCTCGATAGTAATTAGATAATTCTTCTCCATAATGAATATCGAACGAAAAGTGAGTTAAAATGGAGCCTTTGAAGATGAATTTGAGTTATAAATTTAAAAAATTATTTACCTGCTCAATGGATCTAGGTAGTCCGCAATGGACACCCACGTAAACCATTGCGACATCTTAAAAAGGTGTGATAGTGCCACTGAGAATCGCTTCTATGACATTTAGGACCAATCTATATCAGCAAATAGTAAAATTCTTTTAGTTGTTTTTTTATTATAAAATATAATATCTAATTTTTTTTGTTTTTTGTTATTACATTGGAGTTGTTTTCATGACATCATTACACTTTTTACACGTGTTGTTGCCACCATTCTTATCAACTGGGGAGGAGCAGCTTTTACATGATTCAGACCAAAAACACGATTTGTTCACGGTCTTGTCGACAAATCCTCTAAAATAATAGTATTTGCTCTGTGACTGGAAAAATGTTTACGGATTTGAATATCCCAACCGAAGAGTATGTTACTTATTTTTAATTTTTTTTTTATTTACCTCAATTACGTTTGCATGATTGTTGTAAATTTGTTGCAAGGTGATAATATCCAAATCATTCATTCTTTGTATCATTGACATTTAAATTATTCTCACAGGCTTGTCATGTGTTTGTAGCCTAAAAAGATACAAAAAGTATGAAGAAATACTATTGTTAAGTAAAGTGTGATATTTTTTTATATCGTATCAAAAATTTAGTAGATACTATTTCTGCATAGGGTAGTTTTCCTCACACGCCGTGTTTATTTGAAGAATAGATGTTGCTTGGTTTGCAATTGCATAAGGCCTATCAAATAAATGTGAACAATATAAGAGCAATAGATGATACATAAGGTTGTGGAAATTTTGACATAGCTAACTATTGTTGGAAGATAGAAAGATAATAGAAAACCCTAAGGTTAGGGGTATTTTTCTAACAAAACACAAAAAAAAAACATAAATGCCACAGTGAGGTTTCAAAGTCATAGAAAACACATTGAGGTTGATTCTTTTAAGCATTTCTTGTCCGCATTCTTGGAACTACATCGGTCTTTTTTGCAATTTCACAAACAATATGTGGTTAGTTATTAAAAAAAAAAAAATTAATTTGATAGTAGTCTTTAAACACTTTATTTTTGTCATATTTTTAAATAGTTAATTGAATAAAAATAGTGTAGAAGCTTTCAAAAATATTTTATATTTAAATTTATTTTGTAATGGTAATTAAAAAATACATGTTGAAAAATGATGTACAAATCCTATTAACCAAGAATTTACACTTTCTTTTATTAATATAGTTTCTTTGATATTACATTCATGGATAGCGCAGCTCATATTGGCATTTTATATGACTACACATATTCACTTCCGCATAAGAAGCAATTTTTTACACATAACATATATCATTAGTCATGCGATTTAAATGGAGACCACCAAAGCCGTATATAAAAATATCTCTCGGCAGTAAACTCGTTTATGATCACATAACATCCAAACTACTTAAAAGTATCTCTCGGCAGTGAACTCGTTTATGATCACATCCGTCGGCAGTAAATTCGTTTATGATCGAATAACTTGGGCGCATGACGATGCCACATTGGCGACGCTCATCCGGGAGATCCCTCCCGAGCCTGATGTATCCGTTGCGCCCCATCAGTTGCCCACGAATTCTTAACAAATCAAAACTTTTTGCGTTGCCCCATACATGATCACCGTCAATATGTGTGTCAGATTCACGTCGCACGACCCCATGAAAGCTCCTTGGCGCAAAAGCAAATGCACCGAAAAATCCTTGGAGCCCACCAACGGATTCATTCATTGTAGGCTTATGTATTTACCCACGAAAAGGTTCCCGGAGATCAAGCGCAAGTAGGTATCCAATGCACTGAAGAAGTTGAAAACAATGTCGTCCGTGGTCAACGCCCTACACCCATACTGCACGAAAAAAAAAAATATAATGAAATTATTATTATTATTATTATTATTATTATTATTATTATTATTATTATTATTATTATTATTATTATTATTATTATGTTGTCAAAAAAATGAGTAATCTTGTGTCCATTGCATATAGAGCTGGAAGAGTCATTATTGACAATTCTCCTGGCATTGTGTAATGCCAAATAATGGACTAGATCAAAATGGCTCAATTAAATTCTAGTGATTCTTCTATTAGTGAAGTTTCTAGAAAAAAAAATATATATCAAACGACGCAACGCACCTTGGGTCGCTATGGAAACAGCCTCCTTGTATAATTACAAGGGTAAGGTCTGCGTACAACTGACCCCCCAGACCCCAACCTGTTGGGAATATACTGGGTACTGTTAGGAATATACTGGGTACGTTGATGTTGATGTGTCAAAAAATGAGTAGTCTGACCTGTGCCCAAGATAGGATCCACCAATAGTACATTTCTATCTGAGATGTCTGTTGGCAAATTTTCATAGATCAACTGCACATAGATTTCAAGAATTAAAACCAATGTAAAGAATGGAAATGGAGTCACATAAGACCATTGTGGCCTTCTCTATGTATAAGATTTTTGCCAATTTTAATTCCTTTGCAACATGCTCGTAAGGCATTCTCCATGCTTTCACCATTGTTTTTTTTTTTTTTTTTTGTTCAATAATTTAAAGACAAATAGTTGAAAAAACAAATAAAAAATCAAGGCCTCGGACTTTAAATCCGTATATTAGACCGAACAGTAAAAACACACTAATTTAAAAAAGTCAGAACAAATATCGATTTAAAGATAGACAGACGGCAACATTGCAAGAAAAATCTTAGAAGTAGCAAGCAAGCATCTGTTTTGCCAACGTAGCGGGATAAGAGATAAAACCTCGGATCTTCAAATAAATTCTTACACGTAAAATGAGGGCTAATTGAATAAATCATAATAACTGATTCACATTAGAATAGAAGGCTAAAAAATGGAAAGAGTGATTTTTTTTTTATTTTTAGTGTCACAAGTATGAGCCGGTTTATAAAGTTACATTATATCTATAAAACACAATCTATCTTCAGTATAAAAGGATTCCAATTGAAATTTTAGAAGAATTGCCATTTGATTTTCATATTAAATTCTAAGCACCTACAATGAAGCCGTCTGTCAAACACCTTTTTTTCAAACAAATTAAACTAAAATTCCATACCTCCGGCCTAACCAGTCAAATTCAAACATCCCTATTCCAGGTCCCGCTCATCACACAGCAAAACCACAGCTTGATCTCTCGGCTCTGATCTCTCGGATCTGCTTGTCGGGCCACTACTGAGGGGAAAAATCATGAAAATGCTGATCCCCACTACTGTTTGGCTTTGGGCCATTGCTACGCCTGCTTATGTTGCTGATCCTGAGATGAGAACGTATTCATATATGAAGGCATTATGTGCGCACGTCATTCATTCATAAGAATGAAACGTGAAATGTAACATAAAATGAAATAGGAGATATCATCAACAAAAAAAGGATGCTTTAAATAGTTTAAAGGATATTCGTAACATACTTTTGGTGGAATTCTTGTTTTCGAACGATGTAATGAAGAAATTTACCTGTTGGTGTGGCCCTGTTTGTCTGGAGACCATGCTTCGTAGCTGCATAGAAATACAGATTTGATTTAGTCACGATTACTAATTCAACAACTATTTCGAGAAAATATTACATTCTCAATATAGGAATTTGGCAACTCACGTGATCAAAATATGAAAAGGAGGAGTCAAGCTCAAGAGCATCACTGAGAAATTGTCGTATTATGAGTTTAAATTCTAATAATTAATGTAAAAGGAGAATGGAAATATCTTGGGATTTAAATTGATCTACAGACATACAGTTCTAGGAGGCCATACTACCCTCAATAATAAACATCTTGATTTGGTGTAGCATTTAGGCATATAGTCTATACGTTAGACTCCAATAACAAATGAACTCTACCACACCTTACATTTATTTAAACAAATCTAGCCTAATTAACATGTAGAACATGAAATGAATAATAGGGGTATGGTATTAGTGCATGATCATGCGTTTGAAGCACAGATCATATATTTTTGAAGAAAAAGAATATAAATAAGTGAATCACCAAATACAGTAACCTTTCACAAGTGACTCATTTTCAAAGCCCACAGTGCCAGTTGCTTCATAAGGGGATTACACTTTAACTTGCATCCATGATCCTTAAAATCTATTTAGGAAGAGCAAAATGCATATGTAATGAGCAAGCACTAAATATATTTCGTGACGGGGTAAAAGTATTTGCAAGCAAAGAAAAGGTATTACTACCTTACTTGTGTTAGCTTAAGTAAGAGCAGACACAACTCTAATGGGATTAAGCCTCCGTATGCCTCTTCTAAAGTGCTCGAATGCGGACACAAAAGGGCCGAATAAGTAAACTAAGAAAATATGTAGCTTCTGTACACTTTGTACATAAGGAGCATTAACCACTGGAATATCGGTTAATGCACATAAACGAATTGATTTCATTAATCGGTCGAAAGTATTCTTTACCACTCGAAAAAGGAAAGCAAGAAGAACCCTTACAAGGAGATTGTGGTGCGCCTTTGGACGACCACTTTCCGTGAGAATAATCAACATAATGATTAGTCATCAGCCTCATCTCCACCTTATATCCTGATTAACCAAACTTCATGTGGTATTTGCCTGAAAATATTGATTTTTTTATCCTCTTAATTTCTCTGCAAATTGCCATATCTTATGTTCTAATCATCTTTAACATTAAATATTTTCTCGCAATAACATAAAAATTGATTATGGTTTCCTCCTCCAAGCATCTTTACTTTTCTGAAAATTACAAGTATTCCAGTTCATTAGCAACATACTCTTCGTCCTTCGAACTAAAGTAAGACATTAAGGTGACACCAATCGAAAAGCAATGTGAATGTTATTTTGGGCCATCTTTTATAATTAACTTCATGTGATGCTTAACAATTTATGAGTCAGCTAACAGCTACAATTTCCTCAACTCTCCCAACTCCTGGAATTTACATTTGAAGAGTAAAAAAGAATATATAACCATAAGAAGTGAGAGTTTACAGGTCTAGTCAGAAAATGTCCACAAAACTATACTACCATAAATTTAATTATTTTTTAGAGAATGCGTTGTAAACATGATTGGTTTGTTGGTAACAACCCTAATCAATCTCCTTGGTTCATTATTTACCAGGTACACATAGTCGCAATTCCATGAGGCCGAGACAAATTGGATATACATAATGACAATATCAAAACGTTGGCCTTTGAAAAAAACTGGCAAGCCCTACATCAAACCAGTACAATTCTTCCTCAAGAGCACATTGTATAAATCCGGCTACCGATTTTGAAAAAACCCCATTACCACTCGAAAAAGGAGAACGAAATAAACCCTTACCAGAAGATTTATGTATGAAGAGGACCACCGTGGTGCGGCTTTGGACGGCCAACTTCTGTCAGACCGGTGAGTGTCTCGTTTTCTCCGATTCCGGATTTCTTTTGGATTTGGCCTCGATCCATTGCCCTTTTGTTTTTCAGCGAGAATGGTTGTGATACAAATTTTGAGGTAGTTCAATTATGTTTACGAAAACACTCAGTATACAGATATTCCAATGTGTACTACCTGGCATGAAGAGTCTTTCTCATTTCTGAAAGTGCAACTATTACAAAAGTAAAGCCAAAGCATTACAAAACATGACTCATTTATTTAGTCCAAAAACAAAGACATCACAAAAAATGTGTCAGCTTGATTGAAGATGCTGCAAGCCAAGGTTATTTATGTATTGATTTAAAGTATAATTCAACAGTGTCTAACCATTTCATCAACGTTTTACATATAGCTTGGTGAATTTGTTCTTCAATTGTTCCAGCTACAGAAGCTACTCAGCATTTGTGTGTAAATTAAATAGGCACACTGCACTCTTTGTTTTGAAATAGTAATAATTCCTAGAGTTCAAAGGGTTCAGGCTAAAATCCCAACCACTTTGATAGAACAATGTGATGCCTGACAACACAAACTGCATGGTACAAATTGTACCAATCATTTATCTCGGTCATAATTCAAGAAAAGGAATCGAAGATTACCTATTTTAAAAACCAGTGCTCAAATAATCTACTCTGGTCCAAATTTCTGATTTAAACTGTTAGGCGCCAGCTTCTGCATAAGTTTAAATATTTTTGGACTCTTTTCCTTCGAGTCGAATAAACTAAGTAGCATCTCAATGTTATTAAATCTAGCAAGAATCCTTTGGCAACCATCTCCTCAAGAAACATTTCTGCATCATCATATTGGCCACCTGCTAGGTTTCCTCGGACAATAGTGTTATAAGTAACCTCATCAGGATACAAACCTGATTGTCCCATTTTGGAAAGAAGATCCTTAGCTTCCTCTAATAGCCCATTTTGACAACATCCCTTAACCAAAACATTGTAGGTCACCACATTACATTCCAATCCCTTCGAAGCCATGTCTCCAAAAATAGCTTGGGCCGCATTGAGCTTACCGGATATGATCAAACCATCCATCATAATGGTATAGTATGCAACATGAAGATGTTGTCCCTTGCGCTCTAATGCTTCTAATAACGATAAAGCCCTCTCGACTTGCCCATTCCTACATAATCCATCCAACATATTACAGTATGTATAGAAGTTAGGTTTTAGTCCGACAGCTTGCATCTCATAGAAAATATCAAGCGCTACGAGCCAGTTGCCCACACGAAATAAACCCCCCAGTATAATGTTATATGTGCTCACAACAGGCTTGATCCCTTTGCGGGGCATCTCCTGGAAGATAACCATAGCCTCGTCCATCTTCATCTTTCTACAATAGCCATTGATTAATACGTCCCCACTAATAAAATTAGGAGTATAATTCTTGCTACTACACATCGAATCAAAAACATTCCTTGTTTCATCCATACGCCCTTGAAGACAATATCCGCTCATTAATGCAGTGTAACAGGCGACATTTGGAATTACATGTTGCTGCTTCATGATTCCGAATACATCTTCTGCTTCATCCACCATTCCTTGCTTACATAAAGCATCAATCAAGATGACGAACGTGACCGCATCTGGATACATCTTGAAGAACATCATCTCCTTCATCAGCTTTTTTACTTCCTCCCGACGGCTGAAATCGCACAAGCCACCGATCAAAGAATTGTAAGTGACGACATTGGGTAGGATGTCCTTCTTGGGCATTTCGTTGAAAAGCGCCAAGGCTGAGTCTATCATTCTATCCTTACACAAGCTGTCAACAACAATGTTATATATATGTGCATCGGGCTTGAGTGTCCCTTTTTCCATATTTCTGAGGAATTCAATAGCCACTGAGGTGTTACCAACCTTGCAAAGCCCGTCGATCACAATACCACAAGTTACAATGTTTATCTCACAAAGCCCTTCTCCAACCATCTTCCTTAACAACTCCTGTGCTTCGTTAATCCTCTTCTCTCGAAATAGGCCTTTCAGTAGGTGTTGAAGGTACATGCATTAGCAGAACATCGCCGCTTGAAGAACCAGCCTAGAACGGAGAACCCGTAATCAACTCGGCCCGAAAGGCAAAGGCTGTTGATAGCAATATTCATAGTGTATTCATCTACTGAAACCCCTAAACTACAGATGTCTTTGAAAAGGTTAATAGCAGCAGAGTACTCTTTCATATTGACCACACGCAAGAGCAATTGCATAAACTGAACAGTACTTGGTAGAGGCCTCGTTCTCGACATGTTCGCATACAGGCAAAGTGCATCATCCAACCCATTAATGTTCTTAATTTTCTCACGGAAATTTGATTTAGCAACAAATCCTTTTGTACAGAAACAACGAGAAAGTAGCGAAGATTGAGAGCAGCAGAGGGATTTACCTGATTCATGGCGAATTGGGGAAGAAGATAGAAATCGCCATAAGAAAAAGGCATAACTCAGCCTCATCATTTACTCTGTGCATAGTTCTATTCTATTCACTGGTTTGCTCCACGGTACAAACCTTATAATAATTAATAAATATAATACGGAAATGGGACATATCCCCTCTCATGTTGAAGCGTCTTCCCTCTCATGTTGAAGCCTCTTACGACTACTCTACATAATTACTTCTAATTATCCATTAGTTCTGCATATATAAAATAGTCCCTTTTTCTAGGGTTTTCTTTCGTTCTAGAGTCTTAGTTCCTTCTATAGAATTTGTTCTTCTGAGTTCCAATCGTTCCCTTCTCTGTTGTTGATCGAGCCTTCGCAGTCGTTTCTATCTCCCTTTTTTCATATTCGTTTGCTTCCTAGCCGTTTGCATCGTTTTCTTTTCAGATCTGGATTATGAGTTCTATTTGGTCTTATGGTAGCTGTGAGCTTCGCTCCTCCTCTCGGAGGTTCGCGGACCACTAACCCAATCTGGGCGAACCCTGAAAAAAGAAGGAAAACATCTGAATCAACTGAAAGCATATAAAGAAGGAATCCTGGCATTGGCAGCAGTTAGGGGAGCGGGTGCACTCACGATAAGTTCGAAACGAGTCTGGGTATTTTGTGTTTAGTAGTATTGTCTCATTCCGCTCTGCCTTCTGTGTTTGATGGTTAGGGTTCTGATTACTTTTCTTAGCTTTCATATTCATGGGTGCCCTAATTGTCTTTTCAGTTGCTAATCTGGTATATTGTGCGAATTGTTTGATTGTGGTTTTGATTGTGACTTGATTGTGAATCTTTGTTGTGCTGCTTCTGTTTGAATTGATTTAAGTGCTTAGTGATGGATCAGGAAATATCTGATAAGCTGCATAAGTTTAAACTCTCTGATAAAGAAGAACATGGTTTAGTGTTGTCTACCGAAGAAATTGCCCCTGGTTTTAAAGAATGTCAGTTAAGCCTTATGGGAAAAATTTATGGGGAGAAAAAGGTTAATTTTGGGGGTCTGAAAACTACTCTGGGCAACATATGGATCACTAAACAACCTTTTTCAATCCGTAATTTAGGCAATAATTGTTTTCAATTCTTATTTCAATCTGAGCTAGATAGAGATAGAATCCTAGCTGGTAAATCCTGGTCTTTTGATGGGCAATATCTATTGTTGAAATTATGGAATTCTGAGAACAATGAGTTCAATGAAGAAGATGAGAAAATTAAAATATGGGTCCAAATACACAATTTGCCTTTACACTGGATCTCTGCTGAAATAGGGCTCAAACTGGGTAACATCATAGGTCAAGCTTTAAGTGTCCAAGTTCCAGGCATTGGAAATCTGTCTGGTCAAATTTTGAAAGTTTTGGTTGAAATCCCTCTCTCAGAACCTTTACTGAGAGGTACACATATAAAAGTGGGGGAGGATAATAAATGGGTGGCTTTTAAATATGAAAACATCCAAACTTTCTGCTTTTACTGTGGGAGGATTGGCCACTCAGATAAGAACTGTACCAAAAAGACTGAAGATGTTAAACTTAATAAACTAAGTTTGGGTCAGTTTGGTGATTGGTTGAAGTCTCATAGTTCTTCCTCTAGTAGCTATAGAAGTCCAGTGAGTCAAAATAGGAAAGTCATACTAGCTCTGATGCTCATGTGGCTACCCCTATTATTAATACTGATAAAAGTGTTGTGGGGGACAAAAGCAGCCATGGTGAGCCAATTCAACCACCTATCTTGTTTACCTCTGAAAAAGGGAAAGGTAAGGCCAATGATACAGATGCTATCATCCTGGTTGAAAATAGGGGAGTTCAGGAAGAGGTTCCTTCATCCCCAAAGGAACTGATTCCTAACAAGGATCCTTCACTTAATATTGAGGCTAATCTTGTGGAAGTAAGTGTCCAACCTTTAGGTTCTGGTAGGAAAATTGTTCATAGGAAAAGGACTAGAGGTCCTAAAAAGAACTCAGAGCAAATGATCATTGATGTTGCTGAGGTCTCTAGGAATGAACCTGGTTTGAGTTAAAACAAGAGACCTCATGAGGTGTTGACACAGGATGCTGACTCCTCTGATAATGCTCTTGTTCAGAATAAAAAATTGAAACACAATGAGTTGTCTAATGTTGAAATGGTGGAGAAAACCAGCCATAACTTGTCCCAAGGTGCCCAATGAAGGCTCTGGTGTGAAATTGTAGAGGTTTGGGAGGACCCTCTACGATTTCCCAGTTCAAGGACTCCTTAAGGATCCATCTCCCTGATTTTGCTTTTCTATCTGAAAAAAAAAAAACAAAAATTTGTAGAGTCTATGTGTAGAAAGCTTAAGCTTGGTGATAACTGGTACTATGCTAAACCAGTTGGTTTTAATGGAGGGTTGTTTCTGTGGTGGTCAGAGAGGATTTCAATCCTTCACATCATCCCCTCTGAGTTTTGTTTAGAGGTTAAGTTTTCCTTTTCTGGTCATTCTGAAGTGTTTTGGGGTATTGTTATATATGCTAGTACTGATATTGAGATCATAAAATTTCAGTGGGAGGTCTTAGTTAGGCATAGCTTGTACTGGGGGGATTCTTCGTTTTTGTGTGGGGACTTTAATGACATTGTGGATAATTCTGAAAAATCTGGTGGGCTTAAAAGGGATGAAGCCAGTTTCACTGACTTTAGGAACTTGATTGCTGCTTTGGGAGTGGTTGAAGCCAATGTGCTAGGCCATCCTTTCACCTGGACTAACAACAGAAAAGGTGATAAGGCCATTGAAGAGAAATAGGACAGGTTTCTCTTCTCCCATAGTTGGTTCAATCATTTTCCTCAATCTCAGATATCTCACCTCTCTGTGAGGTCATCAGATCATTCCATGTTGTTATTGCATTGCAATCCTGGTTGTGAGTCCTTTAAACATAGGTTTGTTTTTTATATTAGGTGGGTGCATATGGAAGGCTTTCAAGACACTGTGTCTTTAGCTTGGAACTTAGATGTGTCTGGTCATGCCCTTTTTAGTATTTAGCAGAGATTGAAAAATGTTAGAAAGGCTATATTAAATTGGAGGCAGGGTACTGATTTGAATGCTAGGGCTATTATTAATAAGTGTAAGGTTAAGTTGGATCTGCTTAGAAAACAAGGGGGGACAGAGACTGGGGGGAATGGAGTAGATGTAAACTGGAGTCCCAACTAGCCTACGAAAGTGAGGAGCTTTTCTGGAAACAAAAAGCCAAGGTCCTTTGGCTTAAGGAAGGTGACAGAAACTCTAAATTCTTTCATGCTAGTGTGAGACAGAAAAGAAAGCTCAATAACCTTAATAATATTGTTAAAGCTGATGGGACTAGGTGTTATAATCAAGGGGAAGTATTGTCAGAAATTGTTGATTATTTTGAAAAACTATTCCAATCTTCTCAACCTCTTGATAGTAGTTGCAACTTAGATGGTATTTTCAGAAACATTACTTGTGAGATGAATGCTACTTTGATTAGAACTCTGGATGATGAGGAGATTGAGAGTGCTCTTTTTGACATGGTCCAGGATAAAGCTCCTAGTAAGGATGGTTTTACAGCTTGTTTTTTTTTCAAAAAACCTGGCCCACTATAAAATTTCATGTCTGTCTTGTTGTCCATAACATTTTTGATACTGGTAGAATGCCTAGAGGTCTTAACCATGCTGTAATAACTCTTATTCCTAAAAAGAAAAATCCCACCAGAGTTATAGATTTTAGACCTATATATCAGTTTATGCTCAGTTGTTTATAAGTTGATTGCCAAAATTGTTGCTAATAGATTAAAAAAAGTTTTGCCTCAGTGCATTTCTTATTCTCAATCTGCATTTATTCCTGGTAGGCAAATTCTAAATAATGTTATTATAGCTAATGAATGTGTGCATTTTTTGAATAGCAAAAGGAAAGGTAAACAGAACTTTATGGCTATCAAACTTGACATGGTAAAAGCCTACGATAGAGTGGAATGGGCCTTTCTTGCTAAAGTGTGTAGAAAAATGGGATTTTGTGAAACTTTCTTGTCTTGGATACTTGTTTGTGTGTGCACTGCTTCCTATTTTTTCAATTTAAATGGATCTGTTCTTGGTTATATCCAACCCACAAGGGGATTAAGACAAGGTGACCCATTGTCCCCATACCTTTTTATCCTTGTCTTAGAAGCTCTATCCAATCTCATTAACCAAGCTTGCAGATCAGGGATTTTCACTGGTCTGAAAATAGGTAGGCATGCCCCTATGGTAAGTCATCTGTTTTTTGCTGATGATTCCATCTTTTTTTTTTGCAAAGCTGATTTATCTCATGCCCAATTGATTTGTGATATCCTTGCTCAATATGGTTTTGAATCTGGCCAAGCTGTTAATTTTGCTAAATCATCCATTATGTTCTCTAAAAACACCCCCATTGGAACTCAGAATCAAATCTGTAGAATGCTTTCTGGGATCAACAGAGTGACTTCCTCTAGATACTTAGGGCTCCCTTTAGGTATAGGAAGATCTAAATTAGATACCTTCAAGTTTGTGAGTGACTGTGTTAAAAACAAAATCATGAGCTGGA